CTATTCAATATGGAAATAAGATCATTAATAAAGAAATCATTAACAGGATAATTAATTAATGCAGGTGTTGTGACCTTTGTTACACACAGGCCTCAAAATTCAGTTTTGAAACAATAATATTGTGAAGATATTTATAAGTATGCACATCCTCCACAATCTGACATTTAATCCGAGTGACATTGCTGGTGTGCGCTTTCCCTCATTTCCCCCCGTCAACAAAAATCCTGACTGAATTTGCAGTATTCTGTCTGTACACTTACTCCACTGCTACCGTTTCTGATGCCATCTCTATATCCCTGAAGGGGAATTTTTATTTGAAATCCAGTCTGAACGCTTTGAAATAAACCACTGCGGTGCAAAATAAAATCATTACAGCCGCTCTCTGCAATGCTGCAAATTGTCTTTTTTTAGTGCTTACTTTGTAACATATCACTCAAAATGCCTAATAGCACATTGGATTTTAAACAAACTGCAAATGAAACACAAATTATTCATTTTCAGGGTAACAATTTATTTGAATTTGGCATGACTGGCAAGAAGAAAATACTATTTCTCTTCACATTATTGTGTAACATATCCAATTTTTAAACTGTAATCATACATTTACAAGACAAGTTTAGCCTACTGTATAATATGTTGTTGTGTTATAGCCATAAAAATAAAACTATCATATACTATGAGCTACACTTTCTGTTAACAACACACAGACAAACCTCTTAATCCTACAGTATATACAAATGTCCACACACACATGCTTAACACTTCACAAATATAAATCCATGTCACTGCATCTGATGTCCAAAATGTCCATGTGTTTTAATCACAAAGCAATGAGCTGATTTTTTTTTTTTAATTTTCTTTGGCTAAAGGACATGATTAGTGTTTTTTTATGTTTTCAGTCTAGTTCCCTGAAATAATTACACATGTAGCACTGCGTCCTCCGACCGTGGTCATTAGTCCACAAAGATGAAAACACATCTTTAATCAGCCAGGGTTAACTGTGAAGAGAGACAAAGAACATTATGTGAAAACCCGGGATGCTCACAACTGACTGGCAGGACTTTAAAGGCACACCCACACAAAATCTACACATATTAATAAACACAGAAGTCATCCACATGCCACAGCATGAGTAAAATGTGCATGAAGAACAGACTCGCATGCGCACATTCTTGGTCTATATGTTTACAAGAAGGAAAATATTAAATCAATGACTCGACTATTTGCTTATTTGCCACGTGTTTGCACAGAAGATAGATGCCACTTGCATGTCTGTACAGTTAACATAAGGCTACTGGCTGGCAGTCAGGTAGCACAGCTCAGCACAAAGACTGGAAATGGGGCCAAAGCTAACAAAATCCAACTGCCAGCATCTACAATGTGCACTAATTAATCACATAGCCTAACAATTTAATCCAAACATAAACTGAAGCATTTTGTACAGACAACAAGTTGTAGTTTTATAGTAAATTATGTTCCAGAGTATTTCCTGGCCAGGAGCAGTTATTTCCCCAATTTACTTAAAATTATTGTTAAACATGGTAGTTAGTGAGCTACAAAGACGCTGCCAGGAAGACACGGTTTCGTTTGGACGGAGCCAGGCTAGCTGTTGTTATGCTAAGCTAACTAGCTGCTACTTGTGGCTTCATCTTTACCAAACAGATGTGTTATCAATCTTCTCATTAACTCTCACCAATAGGGTAAACAAGGTTATCTCCCAAAGTGTTGCATTATTACCTTCATACTTTACTTTGCAAACATCCTGATCAAGATTATTCTCAAAGCGGTCTGTTTTTTGTGCAGTGAGCACAAAATGGCGCACTATTCCTGTAACAATAATGAAGTTTCTACACTGAGATCAGGATCTGCACTCAAATTGCAATTTTAAAAATCACACAAAAACACACTTCTGGCTACATCAAGGCCGCCTACAAACTGTAAACACACACGATTCATGCAGAGGTCCAGTTACCCTCTGTCCCCCCTTTTCCACTTCCTCAGAAGAATACATCATCATCATCATCATCATCATCATCATTAGCGACATCATCCAACGACCAACTCCAGTCTTTCAGGCCAAACTCAAGCAATCTGAAACAGTAAGTGCGAGTTTCACTGAGGGGTCAGAAGCCCTTACCACATCCACAAGGGGGCAGTATAGAGCTGTGAGTGGCTCATGAGTGTCTGAATGTTACAGGTTATGATGTGAGGGTTAATCGGCACAGCAGCACAGCATTAGAACTGGCGGGCAGGCACACCAGGCGCTGCTACTTACAGTCTCCCAGAAAGAGAGACGTTAGAAGTGTGGGGTCAGAGGTGAAGAGGTCAGGGGTCAGTGGAGGATGATGCGGAGCATGGGGCCAGTGCTGAGAGATAAGAGCCAGTAAGGTTGTGGCTGAGGGGGCAAACTTTGATGACTGTGTGTCTTAGCCAGTTACAGAAAAAAAAATAAGACATGTGACGCATACACCATTATATGCAAATGATTCAGGAAACCTCCTCAAAGCACGACATCCTGAGTAACAGGATTGTGAGTCATTAGCAGAAACAACATATTAGTACAGTAAGACTTGTTTTCATTGTGCCAGAGTTTTCCTAAACCATTTTTTGCTGAAACATTTTTTTTGAAAGATGTACAGATTTTTGGCCAGATTTTTTGTACACATCTGTAAAAGTTGAGTTTCCTGCTGCAAAAGAAGGCCAATGTCTTCAAGTTCATAGTAAATTAAGTTCTTTTTGTGAGACGGACAGATCAGAAAATGCTTCAGATGAAAGGAAAGAGTTTGATTTGAAAACACAAGCAAACTGTGATAAAATCAGAGTCCCTAAGTGAAATAATGGTTCTTAGAAAATCCTAACCCAAATTTTTCAATTTTTCAACCTGATTGTTGCTGATGGTTTCAAAACAAAACCAGATAAATTACTGTGTTGTTAATTTTTTAAAAACAAACTATCAAGGGAAAAGGCTGCAGAACACCAAATAGATGCCCCTCCTCCTTCTGCTAATGGTCCTGACATAATATAAGGATGTGGACACTAGTTTATGGACTTAATAAAAACTAAACTAAAAAAATTAAACCTTACACCTCAGCTGTGCAGCATACAGTAGAAACAGTCACTAAAGTCAAGTGAAAATCTAAAACAAACCGTAGTTAAAATATGGGTGAAAGTTTTATTCTTATTTATTTTCTGTGTTCCTGCATTCTCCCTGCCCTCACCTGGTCTTCCCCGATGACTGCTGCTGTCTGTTGGACTGCATCTTGATGGCTCCTCGATGGCCCGACATAAGAGGTGAACCCCTGGGCGACGGTCGTGGTGAGATTCGTGGAGACGAGAGCAGTGGGTCAGGAGAGGTGTTGGGTGCTGCAGAGGGAGGACTCGTTGGGTGTTTCCTTGGGATGCGTTTGAGGAGGAGACTGACCCAGTGCTGCTGCTCCCCCTGAGAGCTGGTCAATACAAGCAGGTCTTTGGCAGTGGACATATCATAGTTCACTGTCAATGAAAACCAATTAAAAACAGATCAAAAATACAGGAAAGATGAGAAAGATGAGCAAGGATACTTGCCTTTTAACAAGAGCAGTTAAAGGAATCCTATTTTTTAACACTGTAAATTGAATACATTTAGGTTTTTGACTGTTTGTCCAACAATAAGCTATTTGAAGATGTCACCTTGGGCTATAGAATGTTGTCACAGGCATTTAATAGAAAAGAATGACTGAAAAGCAGCCCTTACTGTCAGAAACCCAAAGCAAATGGCTGCTACTGAAACAAGCACAATGATGGTGGTGTTCATATTCTGTAATTTTTTATTTTACACTGACACGACGTGGACGCCCATATACATGCAGAGTATTCCAAATTAATGCTGGATAAACACCTGGTTCTAGGGTATGAATATAAATTTTTATTTGCATACTGACCCTTGCAGGGCACAATAACTTCCTCTTTTCTGTCCAGGTGGTCTTTGTGGCACTTGGTGTGGCAGCGGCGGCACTCGAGGGCCGGCGGGGGCTTGAAGACGTTCCACAAGGGCCGAGTGCAGGCCTCACAGCTGGAGGGGAAATGATAGAGAGTGGGGATGAACTCGTGGCCCTTGTGGCTGATGTAGGAGGGGCGATCACCATACGGCGTGGGCTCCACTACAACCTCTTGTTCGCGTTTGTTCTCGCCTTCATTGGCATACAGAATCTGGAGAAATAAAAGAATGGGAAAGCAATTTTATTGTTGACTTATTGAGGCAGATAGGTGAATTGAAAAAAGCAGAGCTGATTTATAATGAAACAGGAAGGGTCCTAGCTCATTACCTGGAATATCTTTGGAACCTCTTTGGGATCTGCACGGTACACATCAGTGTGAGTCACAGGACGGACATGAAACACTTTACTGTAGAAAGACAGATGGAGATGTTAAGACTAGAGACAACCCAGGAAAAGTGTAACTGCTTCTTGCGTATCTTTGTCATTTGACATAACAGTGGTATATACAGCCTGCTTTCAATGACTTACTCAATGTCCAGGGTCATGAAAGGGTTGGCCTGCTCTCTGTCCAATTCACTGTTGTAGAACAGGATCTTCTTACTGCTCACCACTACATACTGTAAAGGAAAGGGAACCAAAGGCCAAAATGGTTAGAGAGGGAAATAACACCAAGGGTCATTACTAAGAAAACAGATCTGTAGATATGACATATAAACAGTGGAATCATTACTTTTTTGTCCCAGCCAAACCGCTTTGTGTTCTTGCTAGGAAGTGAAATCCAACCCTCCAGCCTGGAGTCTAATTTGCAGAGGAAAAAAAAAAAGAAACAGGAAGATGTTAACACAAAGAGGAGAACAGCCTTTAATCATGTAAAGTACTTAAAAGAGCACCTTGATATTTTTAAGCTTCAGTGGCATTTCCATTAAGCACACACTCATCACTCAGAGAGGAAATGACTCCTCTCACCAAAACTAAGGGCAAAGGCCAAAGGGCGAGAGACTGCCCTTGTTTTCACCATTATTAACTCTAGCGGGCTCTTCAGTGGGGAATATAAGGAATCAGCTGAACAACATATAGGAGGTAAAGAAAGATAATGTAACATAGGAAGCTTTTTATTTTTAGTTTTAAAAAGAATTCCACGCACAAACCAACCACACCCTCCCCATGTTTTAGTGGAATAAATGTTAAAGCTGAGCAGTATCTAGCTGTGAGTACTTGCATCTGCAGTGAACACTAAAAAGGATTAAAGCACAGTAGAGGCAGAGTCAGTAAAACACAGCTGAGTTGCAGCTTTGCAGGACTGAACCAGGGCTGGGGCTATTTCTTTCCAAACAGTGAATTTAAGAAAGAGGATGAAAGTGAAAATATTTTGATGGATATGTTATAATTGCAGTTTTAATTTATATCCCCATCCCTGGTTTGAACCACCATGCAGGGTCACCTGCAGGTTCAGGCTCAGAGGGCTCTTCATAGCCAAGGGCCAGGGGACGGGGGCCCTGCTCCACCTGTCCGTCATAATCTTCTTCGTCCTCAGAGTTAAAGTCAGAGTCAAAGAGAGGATGAGCCGAGCGAAGGTTAGGCCGGGTGCCGATGCTGACAGATTTGTGTGTGCGCTGGTAGGTGAAGGACATTGATTCTGAGGTGTGCGAGTGAGTAATGCGCACTGCGCCAGACCCCAGAGAGGGAGGTTGAGGTGAATTAAGGGTGAAACAAGGAAGAAGAATAAAGAGGAAAAGGTAAATACATTTGGCCTGGAAGACAAAGAGACTCAGAAAACAAAGGAAACAGCCAAAACTCAGGAAGAGAACAGAAAGAGGAATGCAGGAAGTACATGCAGACGTGTATTTACTTGATCATTTGAACATACACGCTGCTGCCAAATCAGTGAGATGATGAGTGTGAGATTACCTGGATATCCTTCACCCGTGTCCAAGTCGTTGCCACTGCTGATGCTGGTGGAGTCCAGAGAATGAACGCTGAGGGAGGTGAGCTGGCACCGCAGCTGCTCGATGTCGCTGTCTTTACTGTCCAACGCCAGCTGAAGCTCCAGACGCACCTGGTTCTCCTCTGCTATCAGCTGAACAACACATATAAACTGCAGTTTAAGCTCTTTTCTACTGTTTGCAGTTACACTAAGCAACTTAATGTGTTTGAAAATTTAAGCCCGATTTCAACAAAGCGACAAGTTCCCTTGAGGGGATATTTGGATATGAGCTCAGGTAATGGGGGCCTGGTACAGAGCAGTGCATGGAGAGAAGCCGACTTGGATGTTAGATTTTCCAAAACCAAGCATTTACTTTGTTATTTAAATCTAAACCGCCCTGTTTGCGAGGTTTATGTAGTGTTTTGGATTCTGAGGTGTTTATGATTTCAAATGAAAGTAGTAATAATAATTAACAAAATAAATATTTTAATAAAGATGGGGAAATCCTGACATAGATGTGAACCCGGGTATGACAACAGTATTGGTTCTCTTCCCTATTGACAGTGAGAGTTCAGTAATTTAATTGAATTATCTTGCTACATAATCATAATTTTAATTAGTATTTAAAAAATCTGCTTTCTTCAGGATCTCAAAGAAACGCATATGTTTTTTGGTAAATGTATCTGCATATATTCACATTGTGCCATTTGTTAGGATGCTGACAGTGTGGGCGTACTAACCGCCTGCATCTCCGTCAGCTCTCTTTGGTATTTGATGATGGTGCTATTGAATTTCTCCTTCTCGGCTCTCAGCTCCAGCTGCAGCTTCCTGTTCTCCTTCTCCTTCCTGTGCACTTCAGTGTCGATGGTTCGGTGAGCTCCCCGCACAGACTCCCTCCTGTTCATCACTTCAGCCAGTTTGTTGACAGCCTGAAAGCAAAACAGCAAAATGCAGCTGTACAGACATCTATTTATGAAACCCGTGGAAACCTGCAGGAATATCAGTACAAAGATTTTTATATTTTAATATCAGTTTTTAGTGCTTTTGCCCAGAGTGATGTGATGTAACAGTCATCTGTATAAAATTGTTTAAAAAAAAAGCATTAAAACATTGAAAATATGAGGCTTTCCAGATCTGTGTAGGTGCACCGACACACACCTGAATTTTTAGTGTCCTTTCATTCTGCAGCTGCTTTTCATAGGACAGTTTGAGTGAATTCATTTGCTTCTCCTCCTCCTTGGCCATGTGAAACTCTGTGCAAATGGCAGAGATGAATGTCAAATCCAGGGCTTATGCACTCATGCACATTTTTCAGAACTAATTAATAACTTAAAGTGCAAGTCAGAAGATCAGTATTCTACCATGCTACAGACACTTGGTTCCCTGATGAAGACATTAATGGATATGTTTCATCACATTTTTTTTTTTTTACAGCCTTTTCCCCATAAATCATCTGGATATAAAAGGCAGCTTTTTAACACATTAAACAGGACTGAGGTAAAAGTCATTTCTGTTGTGCTCCTTAACTCTAAACACTCACTTTGCTGCATCTCTTTCAGCTGGTTGTTGAGCTCTTCTTTCTCATTGGCCAAGTTGGCTACATCCGCCGTCAGAGTGCGATTGGATTCCTCCAGCTGTGAGGGGTGACAGTGCAGATGTGAGCCCCACCCATCCAGTTGGTAGCAAGTAGAGATGCACCGATTGCAATGTTTAGTTTGTATTTGCTGTGTTTAACCGTGGGCTGGATACACTGTACATATACATGCATTGCACATATAGCCAGTAATTCCCTCACTGTGTACTATTTATCAGAGATTTGGTCATAGTTTCCCCTTTTCCAAGGTGTTTCTGCAGGTTGCTCTGTGTGCTGTTTGTACACCAAGTGCTTCTAGCACACCGGTGAACATGCACTTGGTACAGACACGAGCGCGAGTCTCGCTTGAGGTGCACACCAGATGGTATAGGCTGCACATGCTACGCTTTTGGTCTGTGCCACTACGTGCGCAATGCGAACTGCCATGCCTCTAAATCTGACTGGCACAGATTCGGATACCTTAGAGCAATCAGCCGGTCACCGGTCAAGACTGATCACACTGAAAACCGGCCATCTCTGATCTCCCCCAATCGATCGGTGCACCACTAGTAGCAAGCAAGCAAGAAAACTGTATTTATGTAACCCATTTCTAAATTTGCTTAGCAGAAAGCATGAAAGGAAGAAAAAAAAAAATCCTGCTGCCAATTTTAGGCTACAACACTGATAGCTGAAAGAACAAGCCCAGAGTGTCCCTATACTGGACTCCTGGCTCAAAGAAAAAAAGTCTTGACCTTGACTGTAATCTCACCGAGTTGATGGTGGCCTCCTTGTCGCCGAGCTCCTGTTTGTGTCTCGCCATCATGTCTTTGATCTCGAGCTCCTTCATGATCTTCTCCTTCTCCAGATCGGAGAACTGCTCCTCAGCGATGGAGCGAGCCAGCTGCTCAGAGTCTGCCTTTGTCAAACTAGCTTCCAGCTGAGCTGTCAGTGACCCCCTGTGGAGTGAAGGAGAGAAGGAATTACTATTACTTTGAATGACAAAAATCCCTGTTGCCACTCAGAAACAGACTGCCTACAGTGTGGGCATACATGAATGTTTAGATAAAATAATAAATCATTTACCAACGTAGAGATACACTTGATCACATTAACTACTTGCAGTGCTTTCTTTCTGTTGTCAAAGACTGAATCAAATCAGAAACATTCATTTACTAGTATACTGTAATTTCCATACTCTTCAGGTCACTTCAGTGTAATTTCTCATTTTAGCTTTTTTGACTGAAAATGGATCCAGCTGGTCGTCACAGTCCACAATACCTCTCCTCCTGATATTCTGCCAGCTGTTGCTGTGCCTCTTTGTAGAGCTTATTCCTCTCATTACACTCGTCCTTCAGCTCACGGATCTGCGTCTTGTAAAGTGTCTGTAAGGAAGGGCAGCAGGAGACAGTAAATACCTGTTAAGAGTTAAGACTAAATGGGGGAAAACACACACACAGGAAAATATCTTCTCTTCCCATTCAAACCAACTCTTATTAGAACTTTTGCTAGGTTTACAAATTATGTAAGCTTTCAAATGTTTGTCTGTCATCGCTACTTGTAGACAGACTGAAATAAATACATAAATAAATGAATGAATGAATAAATATTACTGTGAAATACTGCTCTGCCTCCAATTGGTCCTTCAGTTCTTTCAGCTGGCCGTCAGCCTCCTGTTTCTCCCTGGAACAGCATCAGAAATCTGTCATTGCTCTGAGCCAACTGAACACCATGGCCAAAGCACTTTCCTCAAATCAGATATGACGAATGAGGTTCTCCACAATATGTTACCCACAATTTTATACCATTAACAAATGCTACTGTTCTGTGTGTGTGTGTGGGTGCAGTGAACATAATGTGCATAATATTATTATATGTGCATGTATACGTGTTTGACCTGCGAAGCTCCTGGTTCTGTTTCTCCAGGACCTGCTTCATGTCCAGCAGGTGGTTGAGCTCCTGTTTGAGCTGTTTCTCTGAGGAGCGGAGCACTGACACTTGCTGATTCTGCACCTTGAGGTCACTCTGGCTCAGAGTCCGCTTTTGGATCTCCTGCTCCACACGCAAGGTAAGGTTTTTGACCTGCACAAACACACATGCAAACACATAACAGTGGTTAATCAAAATGGTAGCTACATAAAACATATGGGGAATAACTTAAGCTTCAGATCAGCTGCAACTATCAAACTTTTTAATCTATAAAATGTCTGAAAATAAGGCAATATTACTGTACCCACTGCAAAATGTCACCCTCCACCTGATTATTTTGTCCAAACAATCTAAATAGACTCAGGGGTATATTTACTAAACCTGTCACAAATTACTCTCAGGAGTGGAAAATATTGCAGCACAGCATTTTTTATAATTTAGCGACATATTTACCAAGACTAATGATGTAAATGAGTACAACTGCACAAGTCTACTGTGGACGTGTGGACTGGGAGGAAGTGTAGAAGAAAGTCTGAGTTTACAGAAACTGAACTTTAATATGATAGAAGAAATGAACAGACATTTCAGAACCTCAGTCACAGTCTCCTGCCAGTCAAACCTTCTTTTATTTCATTCAGTAAAACTTGCAAACATCTTTTTTCTTTTATAAAGAGATGGACACACCTCTTCGGAAAGTTTCTCCTTTTGCGCCTGCAGCTCATCCAGTTTGTGCTGCGCCTGCTTGTAATCGCAGTCCAACATGGAATGGTCCTTCTCTAGCTGCAGCAGCTTTCCCTCCAGCTGTAGCTTTAAGCTGCGCTCCTCCTGCAGTGTGCTCTCCATCTCTGGACCAAAGAAAGGGACAGGGAAAACCACCAAGAGGGTAAATCTACACCACAGACCTGCTTTATCTGAACTTACTGGGAGAACCACATAAATGGTCGAGTGTCAGAAGGACAACCAGAAAAAACGATGTTGAAAGCCAGTCTGTTATATTTTGGACACAAATCAGAATTTTCAAACACTGTTTTTTTCCAAGTTTTATTCTATCAATCAGCTGTTACCTTTTTTCAACAGCTGTTTCATTTTTGCTCTGTTTCATTCTGATCATTTGCTGCAATCATGGTTTTGTCCACCCACTCTCTCACCTTTTAAGGCCTCAGATTTGGCCTCCTCAATGGACTGGTAGATCTTCTTCTTATCAGCGAGCTTGGCCTTGGAGCCCTTGTGTTCGGCCTCCTCTTGCTCCAGACTCTGCTGGAGTGACTTCAGCTTGAATGTTAGGTTGATCTCTTGGTTGCTCTTTTCCTACAGAGTCAAAAGGGGATACTGGGTTTCTACAGCTGTGTCTTTAATAAGAAAGTTTTTTTCTTTTTACTTATTAACTTAATGTATGGGACCAGGCAAAGGAAAATGTACTATATATGCAAACTAGAAATGCCAAATGTAAATTCTGAGATAGCTCTAAATTCACACTGGAAATGAGAAATTCGAGATGACCACCAACCTTCTCGAGGTCACTGAGCTTCTCCTGTAGCCGCTTTTTTTCATTCTGGACTTCAGAAAGAGATGATTTCACCTCTTTCAACTCCTCTTCAAGCCCAGAAATACGTCCTGGGGTGGGGGAATGGGAATATGGAAGAGACAATAAGAACAATACAACTATATAAAGAAAAGGACCTGTGAGATTAATCACAGCGCTCACTGCCAGAACTAGAAAACATACGACATGACTTGCAGTGAATGCGAAAAAACTTAATGGAAATACACCTGAACTATTCAAGTCCAAAAACACAGGAGGCGAGACATTACATAATACTCCTGCACACATTTTTGCCTTAAATACATGAAAAACACTGCACTTAATGTTTAGTTTCCCTTTAAATCATTCCACCCACACAGAGATTCCTACAAGGAGGAAAAAAAAGCATCACAGCCAACAGGCAACAGGCTTGTTTCAACATGTCCCCTCTGACCTCAGTGATCGGCTTCTCTGCATGGACTGAGCACGTCGAATTTTCCAAACACTGTCACACAAGAGGTGCTGGCTCTGGTCGGACTTTGGCTTTTATATAGCTTCATTTGCAGCTTTTGAACAGATGTTTCCACCTATGATCAGAAATTTCCCAAGGCCTGGTCCAAATAACAATCTAATATCCCGTCCAGCCTCCAGCTCCATGTTGTGTAATGCCTTTTTCCTGCTACGGAGGAAATGTTTACTGCAACAAGTTTGAAGGAGCCTATGAAAATAGGTTTGATTACCTTAAGTTAGGACAGTAAATTAACTTTTGATTTACCCAGTATCATTTTAAGTGACCCATTAAAGTTTGACACATAAAAAACTCATAATCAATGGTTGGCTGGTTGCTAAAGTTGTGAAGGTTGTAGTAAAATGTATCAACCACATCTTAAGTGATTTTTATGGTTATTGTTAATTTCCAAACAGTGCAGACTATGTGTATTAATGACAGATTATGACTAACAGACTCACTGTTTAGGTGAGACAGTGGGATGTTTAGAATTTAGTTTAGACGCTAAGCATTTGTAACATTAGTGACAAGGGAGAAGAGTCAAAGTATAATTATAAAGCAAAAAAATAAACCAAACTGAGTATTACCCAACATACATCAGTGCTTCTTTAAGGTGCTGGTCATACCAGACCAAGTAAAGCTGTAGCAGTACAAACCTCTGAATTTGTGTTTATAAATTCAACGTTTCATTTGTAAGGTGAACAATAAGATATCACCTCTATCAAATGTTGCCAAGTTTTATTCTTCTTATTCAGTGAAGTTCAAAGTGTAAAGGTGTGACAGACAACCAGGCCTCACCCTGCAGGTCAGTAATAGTTTCTGTCTTGAGGGTGCAGTCTCTTCTCTCCTCCTCCAGCTCGGCCTGCAGCCCCATCAGCTGCGTCTCCAGCTCCATTTTGCTGTTTTCCAGCTGGCTGCACTTTTCCTGCATCTCCCTGAGGCTGACCTCCAGGCTCTGAGCATGCTTCTGCATCTCTGCTTGACTCTTCTTCAGCTTCTCTACCACTTCCTGCTCAGCCTGAAGTAGAGCATTGGCCTCCTCGAGCTACAGGTGAGAAACAAACAAGATGAAACTTTTTTCCTATAGAAAAACTGGGTCAACGCAGCAGCAAACTTAATGAGCTTTAATGAGGAAAAAGTAAAATAACAGCAGTCATAGTTACTTTGTTGAAAAAGGATTAATAGCATATTTGATTGACATTAAGTGCACTTAGGAAAAAACATGATGACAAATTAACAACAGAAGAAAGAGAGCTATGAAAAGATATGCACCTGTTTCTGCAGCTCGATGTTCTTCTCATTGGAGATCTGGGAACTCTGGTTCCTCTTCCTCAGATCTTCTAGCTGGTCCCTCAGGGTGTTCACTGATGAGTAAGCACAGAGTTAGTGTTGTATTTGATGGAACTCATTCAGTGGATGGTGTAAAAACCAATGATTCACCTAATGACAGCAAGCATATGCAGCACATGCATATAATATCTACTGTAATATAAACAATGGGATGCAGACCTCCCACACACCCTTGAGGTTTAGTCAGATATTTTAATAAGGTTAATAGTCAAACATATATTAGACCAGTTTTTGCAAGTGAAATATGAAAACGTGAACAACTGGAGAAAAACCCTTTCGAGCTTATGCAGGAATATCAGAGAAATATTTCAATTTTGTCCCAGATGCTTACATTCATTCTCCAGGCTACGTTTTCTGTCTGCCTCGATCTCCACCTTGCGCAAACTCTCAGCGCTCTGGTGCTGCAGCAGAGCTCGCTCTCTCTCCAGCTGCCTCAGCGAGGCCTCGACTCTCTGTCTGCTACTCATCTAATCAGAGATGAAATAACACGACATGTGAGTGAACTTAAAGCTACTTTTTCATATCAGAGACGTGGCTGAAATGCATCCTTCTATTCATGCTTACCTCATTATCCAATTCTTTAGCCAGCTTGTCTAAACGGTTGGTGGCATTTCTGAAGGGAAAGAACAATCTTAAGGCAGAATTCAACCTAGAAACCAATGATTTAAGAGGTACTTCTGTTGTGCGTATAGGGGTGTGTTCCCAGATACTGTGTTTTTCTTCATTTACATGCAAATTTATATAAAACTACTCAAAATTTCCATAAGCCCTATTTACATCTTAAACATGACTAACAGACTATTGCTGACGTAACCCAGACACAGACATCACATCACCAACCGACTGCTCTTTCACTTTGCTGATGGAACATGTGGAGAGGGACTGTTTCTCCTTTTTTTTTAACATCTACAGTACGATTATCCGAAACTTAGCAAAGGTAAGCTTCATAGGACAGGCTGTTACACACCGTCATGTAAAGCAATCCGATTTCCTGCCTTATCCAACAAATGGCACAAAATATGATGGCCTTTTTTGTTATTACTAATTATTCTAATGTCTCCTATTTAAAGTGGTAATTACTAATATAGCATACACATAAAACCTTTAAAATGTTAAATCATTATGTACAGTATGAATTTCATGACATTGTACTGTATGGAAAAACCCTTTAACCTTAAGTTTAGGTGATACTAAACTGGATGATGTGATATAGAAAAGATTCCGTAAAACCTGTCAGTTTGCACAGTAAACTAACATATTTGTAATGTTGGAACCAGCATCTGCATTAAAAAAATAAAACCACGGATGGTGCTCAGCTCTGTGTTCGTGTCTGTTATTTGTCCAGTCATACTTGCACTTCTGTTCCAGCTCATCTTTGGTCTGCATCTCATGGTTGAGCTGCTCCTCCAGCTGATTAAGCTTTTCCTGCAACTATTCAGATTACATGAGAGCATAAAAAGGCAATATTGTCTTATTGCTATTTCCAACTTTTATTTTGTGTCTTTTATCACTTATCTTTTATCATATTACACACACAGAAGCACCTACCTCTTTCTTACTGTCTGAGCAATTCCTCTTTTCCTCAGAGTTTTCTTTACAATCCTTTAAATTCTCCACAAAGCAGCTGTTATTTTCCGTCAGTAGCCTGAAAGAGAAAGGACAAAAGGAGAACCATGAACGTTTGCAACCGAGTTTGCCTGAGGTGATTTTCCAACTTCCAGCTCCACAGGTCCAAATTTCTACAAGCTGCTTTGATGCTGTTTGCCACAGCATCTGTTGCCAACTGTTAAACATGGACTTTTAATGGTGCGCAATCATGGGAATCATTACAAGACTCTGCCACTTGGTTGCATAGTGATCAAAGAATCTGAAACCATTTTACAATCATTTTAAGACCATTAGTTTCCTTTAGCACAAACTGGTCTTTAATGGGGTTTTTTTGTGTCTGCCCCATACATACTGCTGAAAAATTTAATATGGTTTCAAAAAACTAACAGTATATCCACAGATTTATGGCTAAAGATGCAGTGTATCTGAAATCCAAGAAGGCTGGTCTGAAGGTTTGCCCGCAGACGGACTATATTAGCTGCCCAGCTTTCATGTCTTGGCAGAAAAGTTAGGCTTCTTGGTCCACCACATACAGTATATGTATATATAAACGTATTTTCTTTCTTTGACTGTTTTCTGTGACAAAAGCTGCTTCAACACTTAATATATGAACCTTCAATTTAAATAATATGTGCCTAAAAAGTAAAAACACCACTGGAGGTTAAACCTTTCTGATTAAAGCATGATAAGAGGGTAAGTCTAACACAGAGGTGCCATTTGTTTCTATTTTTCTGGCCAAGTGAAACCAGGGTTAAGAAACTAGACTTCACCATAAGCAAAGAGGGCAGTTAAAGGGGTTGTCAGAACAAGGCAGCAGTGTGGGGCTCAAACAGGCATACAGTGTCTGACTGGCTTAAGGCTGTATTAAAGGTATGGGTATGAAGCTGCCTTTTTCTGCCTCTTGAATTTGAAGTGGAACGCTGTCCTTAGAGCCAGTCTCCTGAGTCTAGAGGCCTGTGCAAAATAATCCCATACAATAGAGCAACATTTTGTTTTGAGTGAAAATCTACATGCAATCCCAATGACACTAACTGAAGCACATTAAGTTCAGTTTTTTAAAAAAGGTCAGCAACCACAAATTTATATAATACATTAAAGTAAAATACTCAAATAAAATATCAGAATAAAACACTTACTGGTCGTCCTTGAAGTAAGTGAAGCCGACAAATGGCAGCTGGTTGCCCACAAAGGCTTTGGGTGGAGGAAAGGTCTCAGCCTTTCCTTTATCATCCTCTATATCATCAAAGTTACTGGTGTCTATGTCACTGTTCAGCTCTGGCACAACTGGGGCTACAGCTGTAAGACAGAGTCATGACTCAGAAGGGCTAGAGGAGGAGGTAAAAACCAGGAGGGGCTGAGCAAAAAGAAAGACAAGGATTCACATAAACTGCGACTACTGATGCTTACAAGCTGGTGTAACAGGCATTTACCTCAACATCCACTTAATAGAGAATACCTGATTCTGAGTTAACTCTTTGCCAACTTTGGCAGTGCTTGTAATGGGAGTGAGCTTTCTACAGGCTGGTGTGAGGCCGACACCACTCCTCCTCCCCC